CTTTCCCACCTTTCCCTTTCCCCATTCCCCGTTCCGGTTCCCCTCTCCCCATTCCCAGTTCCCCATTCCCCCATTCCCCTTTCCCCATTCTCCCTTTCCCCATTCCCAGTTCCCCATTCCCATTCCCATTCCCCCCTTTTCCCTTTCCCCATTCCCAGTTCCCCATTCCCCATTCCCATTCCTCCCTTTCCCACTTTCCCCTTCCCCATTCCCATTCCCCTTTCCCCCTTTCCCATTCCATTCCCCATTCCCAGTTCCCCATTCCCAGTTCCCGTTCCCCATTCCCCTTTCCCCATTCCCCATTCCCCATTCCCCTTTCCCACCTTTCCCTTTCCCCATTCCCCGTTCCTCTTTCCCCCATTCCCATTCCCCATTCCCAAAAATGCCCTCCCCACCCTCCCCACCCCCCTCTCCAACCATCAGCCCGCGCTTCACTTTTTAAAAATTTTATTTATAACAATATCTGTTTTGTTTAGTTGTAAAGTAATCCAGCAAAAATTATTAAAACATTTCCCCCAATAAAAGGATGGGGTGTCCCCCCCCCCCGCCCCCCCACTGCGTTTATTTATTTATTTCTACTATAAAAGCTAGGTCATTTCCAGGTTTGTTTGTTTTTTTTGGTTTTTTTGGGTTTTTTTTTTGTATTTTTTAGGGGTTTTTTATTTTATTTTTCCTGTTAAAAAATGTGCATGTTGGAGAGCAGGAGAGGGGGGGGGGGCTGAGGGGCTGGGGACCCCCCCACCCCACACCTCAGTGGGGCTGGGGGCTTCATCCTGACCCTGTAACAGTCGGGGAGGGAATGGGGGAAAGGGAGGCAGAGAGAGGGAGGGGAAAATTGGGAAATTGGGGAAGGAGGGGAGAAGGAAAAAAGGGGAGGGAGGGGAAAATAGGAAAATTGGGGAAGGAGGAGGGAAGGAAAAGAGGGGAGGGAAAATTGGGGAGGGGGAAAGGAAAAAAGGGGAGGGAGGGGAAAATTGGAAAATTGGGGAGGGGCAAGGAAAAGAGGGGAGGGGGAAAATGGGGGCAAAAAGAGGGAAGGGAGGGGAATGGGGGGAAAATGGGAGGGAGGGGAATGGGGGCTGGGGGGGAGCTGCAGGACAAGGGGGAAGCCAAGGAGCAGCAAATTGGGGTGGGGGAAGCAAATGGGGGTCCCTGGGGAGGGGAGCTCTGCACTTAGGGGGGGTTTGGGAGCGTGTGGGACCCTCCTGTGCCTCCCCCCCAAGCTGTGACCCCTTCCCCAGCTGTGACCCCCGTGTGTGTCCCCCCCCCTCCACCCCAAACCCCAGCCCCGATGTGTTTGATGGTGAGAGGAGGGAAAAACAAGGAGGAGAAAAGGAGGGGAAGGGGGGGGGCGCCCAAATGTAAAGAAATTTCAAAGAAACCAAACCAAAAAAAAAAAGCCGGGTCTGGGCCTGAAAACCAGGGGTGGGGGAGAAGGGGGGGGAAAAATATACAGGTAATAATACTGCTCACATAGAAAAGTAATAATCCTTCATTTGTACATTTATACAGCGGCTCGTGGCCCCCCCCCCCGGCCCCCTCGTGCCCCCCTCTCTATGCCAGGGGGTCTGCAAGGTCGTCGTCCCCCCCCGTGCCAGCAGCTCCCGTTTCTCGTCCGTGCTGGCCAGGGAGTTGCGGCTGTTGTGGGCCCCCATGTAGAGCGTGGCGTACACGGGGTTGGTGAAGTTGGTGGGCTGCAAAAAAAGGGGGGAAAGAAAAGGTGGGAGGGGGTAAAGACATCCCAAATCCCCCCCTCAAACCCCCCTGGCCAGAAATGCCATCCCTGGGGGTGGGGGGTGCTCCCCATGCTGGGGTCACTCGGGGAGAGCCCCCCATAGATGGGACCTCGTGTTGAAATGGGGCAGCTCTGCCTGCAGCCCCCAGCCTCAAAACCTCTGTGGCCCCTCAGAGCCCCCAACCCACAATCTGAGAGCCCTCAGAGACCCCAAAGCCTTTGAGAGCCCTCAGAGACCCCAACCCAAAATCTGAGAGCCCTCAGAGACCCCAAAGACTTTGAGAGCCCTCAGAGACCCCAACCTCAAAACCTTTGAGAGCCCTTAGAGTCCCCAAAGCCTTTGAGAGCCCTCAGAGCCCCCAACCCAAAGCCTTTGAGACCCCTCAGAGACCCCAAAGCCTTTGAGAGCCCTCAGAGACCCCAAAGCCTTTTAGAGCCCTCAGAGCCCACAGCCCCAAAATCTGAGACCCTCAGAGACCTCAAAGCCTTTGAGAGCCCTCAGAGACCCCAAAGCCTTTTAGAGCCCTCAGAGCCCCCAACCCCAAAATCTGAGACCCCTCAGAGACCCCAAAGCCTTTGAGAGCCCTCAGAGACCCCAACCTCAAAACCTTTGAGAGCCCTTAGAGACCCCAAAGGCCTTTGAGACCCCTCAGAGACCCCAGCCCCAAATCTGAGACCCCTCAGAGACCCTAAAGCCTTTGAGAGCCCTCAGAGACCCCAAAGCCTTTGAGAGCCCTCAGAGACCCCAACCCAAAACCTTTGAGAGCCCTCAGAGACCCCAAAGCCTTTGAGACCCCTCAGAGACCCAAAGCCTTGAGAGCCCTCAGAGCCCCCCAACCCAAAGCCTTTGAGAGCCCTCAGAGACCCCAACCTCAAAACCTTTGAGAGCCCTTAGAGACCCCAAAGCCTTTGAGAGCCCTCAGAGCCCACAGCCCCAAAATCTGAGACCCCTCAGAGACCCAAAGCCTTTGAGAGCCCTCAGAGACCCCAAAGCCTTTGAGAGCCCTCAGAGCCCCCAGCCCCAAAATCTGAGACCCCTCAGAGACCCCAAAGCCTTTGTGACCCCTCAGAACCTCCCAGCTCCAAAACCTTTGAGAGCCCTCAGAGCTCCCCAGCTCCAAAACCTTTGAGACCCCTCAGAGATCTCAAAGCCTTTGAGACCCCTCAGAGCCCCCCAACCCCAAAACCTTTGAGACCCCTCAGAGCTCCCCAGCCCAAAATCTGAGATCCCTCAGAGCTTCCCAATCCAAAACCTTTGTGACCCCTCAGAGACCCCAAAACCTTTGAGAATCCTCAGAGACCCCAAAACCTTTAAGAATTTTCAGAGCCCCCCAACCCCAAAACCTTTGAGACCTCTCAGAGACCCCAAAGCCTTGAGACCCCTCAGAGACCCCAAAGCCTTTGAGACCCCTCAGACTCAATTGAGAATCCCTCTCTCTCCCAACTGAGACCCCCTCAGAGACCCATCAGCCCCAAAACCCCTCAGAACCCCCCCTGAGAGCCACAGCAACGCGCCCCCCACCCCAGCACGTGTCCCCCACTTTGGGCAGGACCCTGCAGAGCCCCCAGCCCCTCTCACCTTGTCGGGGTCCAGGGCAAAGTCAGCATCCAGCAGCTCCCCCACGTCGTCGTCGGGCTCCCCCTCGTACATTTTGTACGTGGGGTTCCCAATCTCCACGTTCATGGCACCGTTGGTCATCCTCTGGTGCTGGAAGCCCTTGGCACTGAGGTTTGAGGGGGGCACAGGGTCAGTGACACCCCCAGGGTGTCCCCAAACCCTCGAGGAGCCCCCCTCCCTGTCCATGGGCATCACTCACCCTTTAATTCTCCATTTGTACCACACGAAAGCCACCACGGTGAGGAGGATGAGGAGCAGCAGGATGGGGATGACGATGGAGGCTGTTCCTGAGGGAGGAAGGCACTCAGAGCCCTGGGGACACGTGGGGCAGCCTGGGCTGGGCCTGTCCCCCCTTTTCACCAGAGAACGGGGGGCAGGAGGTGCTCAGGGGCAATAAACCCATGGGAGTGGTGTGGGGTGGAAATGGGGGCACACAGGGCCCCTAAATTAACCTGACCCCCAAAAATAACCCTGGGTGTGGTGTGGGATGGAAATGGGGGCACACAGGGCCCCCAAATTAACCTGACCCCCAAAATAACCCTGGGAGTGGTGTGGGGTGGAAAGGGGGTCACACACTGCCCCAAGATTAACCTATATCCCCCCAAAAACCCCCTGGGTGCAGTGTGGGGTGAAAGGGGGGGGTCACACACTGCCCCCCAACAAAGTGCCCGACAAATGCCCTGGGTGTGGTGTGGGATGGAAGGGGGGTCATCCAGTGCCCCCCACTTAACCTGCCCATCAACAAATTGCCCCCCAAAAAACTGCCCAAAAAAACCCCCTGTGTGTGGTGTGGTGAGCTATGGAAGGAGGGTGTCACCCACTGCCCCCAAACCAACCTATCCCCCCCCAAAAAAATCCCCTGGGTGTGGTGTGGCACGGAAGGGGAGTCATCCAGTGCCCCCCAAATTAACCTGCCCCCCAAAAACCCCCCTGGGTGTGGCATGGAAGGGGGGGTTACACATTGTCCCCCACTTAACCTGCCCCCCAAAAAAACCCTGGGTGTGGCGTGGGATGGAAGGGGGGGGGGATCACACACTGACCCCAAATTAACCCAAAAAATGCCCTGGGTATGGCATGGAAGGGGGGATCACACTTTGCCCCCCAGTTAATTTGCCCCCCAAAACCCCCCTGAGTGTGGTGTGGGATGGAAATGGGTCACCCACTGACCCCAAATTAACCCAAAAAACGCCCTGGGTATGGCATGGAAGGGGGGGGTCACACATTGTCCCCCACTTAACCTGCCCCCCAAAAATCCCTTGGGTGTGGCGTGGAATGGAAGGGAGGGGTCACACACTGACCCCAAATTAACCCAAAACCCCCCCTGGGTATGGCATGGAATGGGGGGGGTCACACACTGCCCCCCAGTTAATTTTCCCCCCAAAGCCCCCCTGGGTGTGGTGTGGCACGGAAGGGGGGGTCACACAGTGCCCCCAAATTAACCTGCCCCCCAAAAACCCCCCTGGGTATGGCATGGAAGGGGAGGGGGTCACACTTTGCCCCCCAGTTAATTTTCCCCCCAAACCCTCCCTGGGTGTGGTGTGGCACGAACGGGGGGTCACACTTTGCCCCCCAGTTAATTTTCCCCCCAAACCCCCCCTGGGTGTGGTGTGGCACGAACGGGGGGTGCCACTCGGTGCCCCCCACTCACGGCTGCTCTGCTGCTCGCCCACCACCAGCTCCTCGCAGCGCGGGCCCGTCCTGCCCGCGGGGCACCTGGGGGAGAGCAGCAGGGAGAGCACCGGGATTAGCGGGGCAGGGCCATGCGGGGAGGGAGGGAGGGACAGCAGCGCACGGAGCTGGGGTCGGGCCGGGGCGGGGACACAGATTTGGGGCGTGTCAGTGACGTCTGGAGGGACAAAGAGCCCCTCTGAGCCCCCCCATCCCGTGTGCCCCCCTTCCTCTCTTACTGGCATTCTGGCAGCTGGGTCTTGTCGCTGATGGAGCAGGTGCCACCGTGCAGGCAGAAATTGTCACAGGTCAGGCAGC